TGACGCTGCTGTAACCTGTACTTGCTGGAAAGCCACCATTAAAATACCCTACCTGCGCTATATTTATGCCTTCTGTTGTGCAAACTCTGCGTAGTAGAGGCTTGAGCTGAAAAGACTACGACTCCCCAAAATTTCTTGTAGCAAAGGCAAGTTCTGGCTTTTCCAAATCAAATTTCCCCATCTGGCCACTTACTCTGCTGCAACAAGAGAGCATACAAGCAAATTTTCAAGCATTTAACTCTCTGAGGCTGAACTGAAACCAGGCACTAACATTGCATTGAGTTTCTAGGCAAGAGATGAGGAAATAGAACCTCAGGAAATAGATGGGCCAGCTGGCTGGCCAACTGGGACCAGTACCTGGTGCTAGCTTCTCTGACCCCCTCTTCCACCTCACAGATTAAACAAGTCTCTAGTTTCAGTCTTAGGACCCACGTATTACATAAGTGGACATGAACATCCCATGCTATTTACTACAACAGAAGCACAGAAGCCTCCAAGACTCCCAAAAGCAGCTCATCTCTGAACACACTTCCGCAGGTGTCACCAGCTTCTCATGATCTTCTTGCCTATCCCATGAAAAGGGTGGTGGGTTTGACCCAGGCTAGGCCACCTTCTCAGCACACCTGGGAACAGCCAGAACTCAGCACCATGACAGGCAGTTTTCTGCTGCAGGCCAGGTAAACAAATATATGGTAACACATACTTCCTAGCAGACATTTTTATAGCAGTAAGAGCTAACTTCACATTAATTGATTGATGGGCAGGAATCGCACGGATGACCAAATCATCACACACACTTTAAATCACAAGCCTGAGAAGTGCAGAATCAGTCTGACAGGTGAATGCCTCATGCAACAGCCGATGCTGGAAATGGTGCAAGAAAACTGACTGTGTGGACCTATCAACATGTATACGTTACAGCTTCCACATTAGACACATCAAGACAATAAATACATGAGAGTCCAAATTTATTTTTGAGGTTTCTTGTACAGAGCATGGTGTTAAGTTTGCACAGCCCAACTTTAGCAGTGTTCCTGTGACACAGAAACCTGGCTGGGAAGTACCTAGCTCCTGTGGCCTTCGGTGCAAGCCATAGTAAGCCATGAACAGATAAGACAGAAGTCAAGCTCACCAACGGTGACGGATACAGTTCCAGAGTAGCTGAAGTGTTACTTCGAAAAGGGAGAAAAATGTGCTTAATGAGAGCTGTTAGAACAAGATGAGAATTTCACTGGGGGAAAACTTCTAACTGGGAGCTGAGAGTCAACTAAATTAAATGAAAATGTCCATAAGAAAATGTAGATTACACTGAAATTTCAAGAGGAGGAAGGCACACAGTGGATTATTGGATCATTTGCATCTTAGTGGGAGAGAGGATTGTGGAGATTTACAAGGGTGGGGGAGGAAAAAAACCAGAATAAACCTGTGGCATTGTAGGTAGAATTTGAACACCTGGCTTTGGTATTCCTTTGTGTGGAAAAGGACTAACTGAAACTCAGCTACAAATACTGAAATCCCCAAACCCCAATAATGTGTTAAGAACTGAAATTTTCAAAACCATCTTTTTGATATTACAGGAAATGTTGATCTTCATTTTAAGTAATAAATGGGATTTCAAACACTTTCGTACTCAATCAATTTTCCAGACTCCTGTACCTTTAATACATTTGATAACAAGAACCTTTTAAAAAGCAAACTTATGTGCCACTTTGAAATGTTTAAATATTGTAACTTACTCAAAAATTATCTGGTACTGCAAAAACGAAGCTACTAATGGCTGAGTGATGTTACACGCACTTGCATTAGTGTCTGAACATCAGGTTATTCCAGCAATAGCAGACTGCAAAATAAACTGTACCTCGCTCTTGAAAATGAATGTGATGAACAAATACACTTTGATGCCTTCCCAATTTTAGAGACAAATGAGTAGACAAAGTGTCTTACCATCATGCTAATTTACATATTGGAGACTTTGTATTTCTTTTAATGACATGCAGTAACATTATAAAGCTGTCCTGTGAAGGAGGATACAGGCAAAGGCTATTGCACATTTACATGAAGTATATGAAGAGTAAACAAGCATTATTCCTTTCTCCAGCCCTTTTACAACTAAAAGAAAGGATAAAACATGTTATTAGCTCACCTAATCAGATGGAATTCGGGAATAACTAAAGGAATTTAAGAATTAACAATCAAGCTTCATTCTGTCAGCACTTTACTTGGATCTCTAGTTCTCCTCAACAAGTATCAGCTTAAGGACAACTACCATATTTATCTTATGAAATTCTTCATATTTTTACCTCTAGCCCCTTTATATTAAAAAACAAAACAAAACACAGAATTACTGATTAAATAGCTAGAAAGAAATGGTTAACCTTTGAATTAGAAGGCATTGCTAGTGAAATACCTGTGCTATGGGACATACTTACAAATGACCAGAAAAATAAATAAATAACAACTGGTAAGATCTGGAAACGGTACAGAATTACTAAGGTATTAGAAAACAAAGTATTAGTAAACTAAGGTATTAATAAACAAAGATAAATCACAGGAGGTATGGTGCACAAGGGCAGAGAAAATTTGATTTGCACGACATAAAAAATAACCCAAGACAAAAAAAAATGTACACAATGGCACACCAAAAAAAAGCATGCAATAAACCATTCTAAATTAGCAACTAATATTCAGGAGAGTGATCGTGAAATCTTTTTTTCAAATCTTGTTAAGATATCAGCCCAGTATTGAGCAGCAATCAAAAGCAAAACCAGAATATTAGAAATTATATGGAAAATACAGAGAGGAAAAAAGAAGTGCTGGTATCACCATATAATGCCTAGTGCATCCACATCTTGAATTTTGCGTAAGTACCAGTTCCTCCATTTCAAAAGAGCAACAAGAATAATTACAAAATAATAGCTTCTGTATAAAAAAAGATTAATTAGGAGTCCTCAGTTATATATAAAAAAGAACCTAACAGCAACGCAATGGTGAGCCAAAGGCTTCTCATCAGGTTTCTACCAATGTGGCACTTGAGTAAGGCAACTTTCAAATACAAAGGAAAACCATAAGGAGACAAGGAAGTAGCAGAAGGCACACATGTATTTAGATACTGTCAACATCAGGAGCTAACACAAGTAACAGAAACAAATAATGTAAAACGTAAGCTAGTTCTGATAATCACGTTTAAATCTCCTCACTTTTTAATATGGCTAAGGAGGCACTCGAGAAAGGTATCAACAGTGTTTGCAATAATCATCAGTCCAAATCACATCAGAAGAGATCTTAATCATATCCTTCAACTTATCTAAATCTCAAGATAATTTCTTAAAATACTTTTAGGAATAAAAAGCACTTTTGTTGAACTTTTTGATGCTATTTCTTTCACTTGCAAAACTGAAGTAGACATCCAATAGTTTAATACAGGATTTAATAGTTTCCCTTCAAGGATGCCAAGAGAAGATGTTTTAACTGAAGCACCTGGCACAGAAGTGCATTTGTCAAGGCCACCTGTAGGCAGAGAAAGTCAGGACAACTTCTTCCTTTTCAGTATTCTTCCCACTGCTCGGAATATACACACATAAGAGTATTGCACAACTCTGCCTTGATCTAAGGATTGAGATGTACATTGCTCCAAAGATGAGCTTTGTAACGTTCAGCTTACTTCCAGAAGCCCCAAGAGTGCTTTGCCTTGCATTTTATCTACCATAAAAGCTAACACACACCTATCACATTGATGAAACTCAAGAACATAGCTGGGGAAAACCAGGGAAAGAATCAAGTGAAAATTGAGACTGAACATCAAGAACGATAAATCTTTGTACCAATCTACATGATATGGCTCAACAGTAATTCACACAAAGCCTCAAATTATTTCGTTTGTAACTTTATTTCTTTATAAGTTATTGGTATAAAGTTTAATATCTAATTATACAGAAATCTGGGGACTTTAAGGGAAGCTTATTTTGTTCTTTTTAGTGTCTTTTGCCATTTGGTCCTCAGACATGTTTTAAGAGGACTAATATTATACGTGTACCTTAAATTTCTGTACAAAACCACTTCAAGCCTTTATTTTGTTTTTCTGAGTAGGATGCACAAAATCATGCATATTGTAGATAACATAATGGTCAAGGAAGTACTTCCCTCTTTAAACTAAGGCAGTTAAAAACCCATGAATATAAATTGAGTAATCTGGAAGAGTAAAAAGGCTTCCTCAGTGCTCATGTATTCTTTGAGCAAATATCATGTTAAGACACGCCCTCTTGGAATTATTATTGATTTAATTGCTGTCTGCATTGAAAAAGACAGCGATTGTCAAAGACAGCATTTAATTATGTACATTTTATAATGTCACTAACCCATCCACTTTTGAATATGAACTCATCACCGTTAAACATTGTGTAAAACCACATGCAAAAACTGCCATAAAAATTTTAAAATAGAAACAAATTGGCAAGTTTTTGAAAAGGATATTTCAATGTTAAAAAAAAATATACTGTCTATTAAAATGAGCACTTCAAGTAACTTAAATATCTTTAGCAAACATGTCCAGCAAGTGACTCTCCGTAAAAGAAATTGTTCTTAGAACAAAAAGCTAACGAATGGCTATTTAGAAACTAATTTTTCAACACAGTGATGGGTCTGTGTGAAACAATTTGTAATCTAAATAAAGCGACTCCATTACACTGTTAAAAAAACCATACATTAAGCAGGACTGATTAACTATTGCATTTCTGTATTTACAAAAGTGCTTAGCATAACAAAATTACCTAAAAAAATATAAACTTTACCGATATCATTTGGTTCTATGTGTACTCCTAGATCTGCACTTGGAGAAAAATAGTATTTACATTGCTAGGTTTAGACAACTTTCCTATTATTTTTAAAGAAATTTAACAAGACTCCCCACACAAATGGACCCCTATGTAAGTCAATTAATTCCACCTGGCTCATCATAAATAGAGCAGAAGCAAATCCTTGAGTACTGAGCAGTACAGATAATTCTAGCCATTGTCTGTGGCATTAGACCCCAATACAGACTGCCGACAAATTGGGCAAGTGGAGTTTTCAGAAAGCCAGCGATCAATACAATGAATATGAAACTCATGCATGCAAGGTAACTGCCTTAGCTTATTCCCTGTTACATATTCATTAATGCACACACTACATGTTTTACTTATTTCATTTTCAGTGTGAATATCCCCATAGTTCCGGGTAGAAAGATTGTCAATCTGTTCTTTGGTTAAACCTCTTAAACGGTCGTCATCCTCATCTTCATTCAGAAAGTCGAAGTATGGACAGCGTTCCATTTTCCACTAGGTTGTTAGCATCTTGAGACTGCCTGTTATCTTGGTTTTCACTATTGCGACCATAGCGTTGAATATCATCACTCTGTCCGTTTGTTTCCCTGCTGCCTTCTATTGCATACCCATTTCTAGACGAAACCTCACTTGGATCACTGGTATTGTTTGCTGAACTTGAGTTAATCTGCTCTGACTGTACATCTTGTAAGTGATGACCACCTCTTTGCACTTCCGAGTTAGATTCAGTTTCCATTAAAGAACTCAGTTCTCCAAAGCCTGTCATAATTTGTCTAAAGATTGATCGGAGAGCCACTGATGAAGGTTCACCAAGCCCAGTTTCTGAGATCCGACGAAGAGGTATCCGTATAGTGCTAACATAGGTTTGAATACCCGCACGTTCTGATCGTGATATCGTACGCCGAAATCCTCCGCTGTCACTTTCAAAGGTAACTGTGTTTTCTGCCATTCCTACTCTAGAACGAGTTCTACTGGCAATGCTGTCCCGATCTCTGTTTTCTCCAGGACGAATTCGTCTCACCTGAAGATCTAATGTAATTGTTGGATGCCTTCTAACAGCAGCTACTGGTCTGCTAGATTCCTCCTCTTCCAAAGTTATTCCCAAGGATGGGGCTGCACTGGAAAGCTGAGGAGTCTGAGTGTTACCTCTTGCTTGTTCTGTGGCAGTTTGTGGAGAAGGCTGAGCCGTTTGTCTTCTGCTTCTGTTGACTTGCTGTGCGTTTCTATCCTGCCTCTGCCCATGTTCCTCAGAATGGGCAGTGTCACCCTGCCTTTGCATCGGAGAGCGGCTTCGACTACTTAAAGTAGACCTCAGCCGCAGAATTTCTAGTCTTTGGTTTGTACTCATCTGAACATTAGTTCTGGCTCTACCTCTTGTGACTCCTGTAGAAGTACCTCTTTCTGGCATTTCTCTTTGTTCACCAGTAGCTGCAGAATTATGTGTTGTATTTGTTTGGGAAAGGCCTGTCAGCTCCCTTGTTCTACTCCTGAACCTCCCTGAGATCGGATGAGAAGCTGCTTCAGAGCTTTGTGCCACAGAACTTCTTACCGACCTGGTCCGTGCAGTGCTTGAAGCCTCATTGTTTGCCCCTCTTGCGGTCCTTCTCCTTGTTCGTGGGGTTACTGGGCTGACAGCTCTTCGATGTTGTCTTTCTAAATACATTCTGTTACTATCTATACCCACATACTCCTCACCAGCAGTTTCAAAACTGTTATGCTCATGATTTATGTTGATTTCAAGACTAAATCGAAACTCCCCACTGTTTGGATTTGTTCGACTCACAGCCCTCCAGGTTTGGTTCCCACTTTGTCCACTGCGAGTAGCATTTCCTGTGCGACGAAACGTGTTCAGCCATTCAAGCAAAGAGTCACCATTTGAGTTTTCTCCAATAACATCAGAATCTGAGAGAAACAAAGAATTGCAAACATTCATACAACTGCACACTCAGTATAGAATCACTGAATGGTTTGGGTTGAAAGGGACATTAGAGATCATCTAGTTCCAA